ATCCTCAAGCTCCCAATCATTGAGATTTCTCGTCATATTAACTGTCCACTCCCTCTTGAGATCATCATCCTCATAAGCGTCCATAATCATTATGTTCTTTACATGAGCAATGGCAAAGATCTGTAGGAACTAGTCCTTCAATCTACCCTCTCCCAACCAGATGTCATGCCAAAATAGAACCTTAGTTTCTTTGCCCATCTTTCATTTGACAGACTCCTAAAGGAACTGACTTCTCCCAAATTTTCTTCTATAACTCCAATCCAAATGGTCTCCCCACCTCCCCCCTCCAAGACCCCCATCTTGCCTCCACCATCCTCCATAGGTAATTCTCCTTGTTCTAGTATCTCCAATACTATTTCCCTTGGAGCGCCATGTTCATCTCAACCGTAGACCTCACACTTAAACCCAACCCCCCCCCCCCCCCCCCCCTCCTCTTCTTATAGGGTAACTTCACTCCACTTCAGCAAGTGAAATCTCCTTCCACCCTCGTCATCATCCCATAGAAAACGACACTGGATAAATTAAAGCCTCCTTGCCACCTTCACTGGCATTGTTAATATAGACAAGTAATAAACGGGATGGTTTGAAAGAGTAATCTTGATGAGCATGAGTATACCCCCCTTCGACAACAAATTTCTCTTTCACTCCGCCAATATTTTCTCAGACATTGAATTACTGGTTCCCAGATACTCTCATCCTTATGCTTTGAATCCATGGGGATACCTAGATATTTAATCGGCAACTTCGCAGTTTTGCACCCCAACACCCTGGCAAGTCTACCATCATTTAACCTGTCCCCGCTAACCACCTTCTCAGATTTAGATAAATTAATATTCAGCCTAAAGATGATCTGAAGGATTTTGGGTCATCCTCTTTATTCACTGGAAGATTATGGGGACCTTATTGACATGTTAACCAATATATAAATACTTCTATACATGGGTTTACACTCCCTTGATGCTTGTGAATAAAAAGTGTGGATATTGATTAGGGATAGAGGTTTCTGTGAGGGAATAGGCAATTTTTTTATGAAGGGAATTTGAGTGATATGGGTTATTTTCTGTTCTTTTCTTCATGGCGGATGAAGTGTAGTGGAGAAAAACCAGGAGGGTTTTCTATGTTATAAAACTTTACTCCTCTAATACCATACTAGAAGAATTTTATAACTTCTATAACTGATTTCTTTGCTACCATGTTAGAAGAATAAACTAAAATATTATCCTTCTTATGTTGAAATAATACATGTAGGTGTAGAGATACCTATGAAGAAGAAAAAGAAAATTAAGAGAGCATTTGAATTTTTTTTTTTTACTTGCTTACAAGCAGCTTTAAACACTTTGTCCAGTCTAAACATTTGGTAACATAAAAATATGGTACTTACTAGATTCTTGAAAATGACCTTTAAGATAGTAGAAAATGATATCTAATTCCTAATCTTTTAGGTTCTTATATTTTTTCCTTAATTAAGTTACTTACATATTCTCTTGATATCCAATTAAAATTAACAGTATATATTATTTCAAAAAAAATTAACAGTATATGTAATAATGTAATTACAAAATATTTGTAACAAGGACATCTTTATTAAATTTTTTACAAAAAAAAAAGAATAACTGATTACTTTTTAAAAATCAACATTTTGTTTTATCCAAACATGTAACTACTTATTGTTTAAATAAAAATTTATCTGCTTTAAGTAACTTAAAGCATCCTACTTTTCACGCAAAAACCCAAACGCCGTCTAAGACTAAAATCTAATTAGATAAGACAGTGACAGCAATAAAACCTACTTAATTAACTCTACAGAAAATGATTATATAGAACAAATTTAGCATTTCTATTATAGGACATAATTTTGCAATTTCTTGAAACTTATAACTGCCGTGAATGCATAAAGCTATACCAAGACAGACACGTACACTACGATATATAACCAAGAAAAAGTAATTCTGATATAGGTTAAAATGCATAGTCTGCTATAGCAGATTAATAGGGTACCATCCAAATGAAAAGATGGCAATGCAGATATTTAGAAAGAACTATGAGCAAAGAATGAAAAATGCTCATAAGCGATAAGAGCATAAAAATGAAGATACCGAGTGTGAAGCAAAACCTGCAGAAGAGTGACACAGTGTTGCTGTAGTCCAATGTTTTCAAAAGGCATGGATAACCATCGATTCCAAACAAACTCTTCATCGGGATTTTGCAAGGGCATGCGACTCGGAAAAGGTCGAGTGATGTCTCTTGTCTCGCAGAAGTAGTGCTTCCCATCAATGTCGATCTCTGTTAATTCCTGAACATTCTTTACTTGTCCTTTACTTTGGGGCTGAGGATTTTGAAGTGGTATTTTGATCCACTGGCTCTCTGTCACTGTACATACACACCCTCCACCAGGTAAATTTGGTATACTAGCAGTTAACTTTGTTGCAAGAAGGAGCAACCCAAAGCTTCCCAAGGCAGCATAACCCAGTATTGCCTTAGCAGACGCTGTACTCTTGCACACCCATCGTGATCCATTTGTAATGTAATCAAAGGCTTCATTTTCAGATCTGAAAACATCAAAACCAGGCTTTCCATGATAGCAAAGTGCTCCGCTTGTTGGATCAACGTACACCACCTGAGTGTCCGTCCTAGACGACAAAGTAGCAATTATATATACTTCACCAGTATCTAATGTAGCAACAACAATGGAGGTGTTTCTGAAACCACTCACTACAAGAACAAGACAAAAAAGAAAAAGCAACATATCAATAAAATAGGCTAAACAGCATTCAACACAAAATATAAAGACATATTATCTTTATTATGAAAAGAAAATGTAATCATACTTTTTATTTAGAAATATCCACGAGAAAATTATGGTATTGCTATCTCTCTTGGTTCTGTATTCACAACCGATCTTACGGCTGTCCAGGTTGCTTTTCCCACATTAGCTACCATCCCCATGGTCACAGCATCATGTCTAACTAAAAGATTTGTCAATGAGGCTTACAATTTGTGCAGCAAGTTCCCAAAATGTCTAGATAGTACTGCGAACTAACTTGGAGGACCTGCTTTCCGCAATAACAAATTCTCAAGAACCCGAAAAATCACGTGAAAGCATTATCTGATTGGTTAAATGAATTTAGTGCATTATGTAATTTCTCTAAACACTACTTTGAAGATCTTGTCTAATTCATGAAATGCCTGGCTATTTGATAAGTAGGATGCACAAAGGTTCTACCAGTTATCAGACTCACTCCTCGTAATACAATTGACGATCAAAATATCATTATTCTCAAATATACAACGATGTACATCTACATACAGGCAACATTTACAGTCTCAACTTTTAGCTACAGCAAAATATATACTGTACTTAAAGTGAATTGAAGAGCACAAACTGCATGATTCCATAAGCTGATGGTTGAGCTGACTGTGAAGAAAGCCACTAATCTGATCAAATGCATTTAAGCAATGGAGTCAAGAAAACTTGCATGATCACTACGAACATATAATCATACAAAGACATCCAAATATTGTATACAAAGGTAATTGAAAAAATAGATCTATAATTATTTGGATGCCATCTGACCAGGGTTATGAGATCAAAGAACCATCCAAACCTAACACTGTGCGAGAACCTGCCCTTCTACGGCAATTCTCGAATCACTTTTCTTGTTCTTTGGATCTAATACAGATGCCAGATTATGTTTCCAAACAACAAAAAAAGCGAAAATTACTTCTGAAACGAGAATGCATGAAACCGAGCTGGACTGCCATAAAAAGACATCTCAATTCATGTTCCTTTTACTGTGGTCTTGAACAAAATATTAAGCAGATTACCTCTTATTTCACCAATTACACGATTTCCACTTCGAGAAAGAAGAATAACGAATCAAAAGATAGATGATAAGTTAAACAATTAAACAACAACCAGGAAACTCAAGATTCACGAAATATACGATCTAACGTATGCATAACATACGTACTCGCGTCGACAGGGGATAAACAAACTTAAGCAGAAAGTTGTGATGTGAAAGGCAGCGATCATTAAGTCCTTGAGAGAAAGACTGAGAGACGGAGAGGGAGAGGAAGGAAAATTGAAGTAATATGAGAATATCGAAGGCAAAGAGTATAATTGTCTGCAGCAATCAACAACGCGTGACGAAGATTATATTTGTGAATTTTGTGAATTTTACCTGGATTATTCAGAACATAATCGCAGTCCTTATTGGATCTATAAGAGAACGAAAAGAAAAGCGAACATTAATTTACTCGAAGACAGACATGGATAGGCGTGCAGAAGAGGAAGATATAAACAAGAAGCAGTGGAGTAAAGAGACCGAAATACCCTCAGGTAGTGATAGAAAATTACTAAAAAGTACTAATGGAGCTTCGTCCTCAGTGTCATTTTCTTCATCGTCTGCTTCTTCCGCAGATTCTAATCTTTGGTTGTGGTCGGAAAGACGGCGAGAAGAAAGGGGAGATCGGGAGAGCCGATGAAGTTTTGTAAATTTTACTCAGACCCGGCCATGACGTAATGATGACATGTAATGATTTTGATACATCAATTCAAAATGAATAGGTACGAATTTTAAATATATATAATTTTTAGTACCATAATTTATGTTGAAAAAAATCAAACAGTATGCAAAAATTATGGAATTTTTTCTGTCTAAAATATATAAAAACGATTAGCAAACAAATACATTTA